CTCTCTCTCTCTCTCTCTGAGTGTATCTACTTGCTCTTGCTCTTCTTCTTGAGTTTTAGCTTCATTGTCTTCTTCACTGTGCCTGTTCCCGATGAGAGCGCCTTCTTTGCGGTGCTATGGCGAGACATGAGAACACCGGTGTGGGTGCGGGACTTTGTGCCACTCGCGCAGTCCACGCAGAAACCAACGACGCGGCATTCTTTTGTGCAGTTCGGGCAGCGCCAGAGAACCCCGCGGCGTTCATCGAAGCCTTCATACACATCAACTGGCGATTCGTGGCCGAGTCGTATTTTCATCTTTCCCTTCATCTTTGGCCGTGTGCGCTTGAGATGCACAGACTTCCGCTCCGCCGGCACCACCGGTGGGAGAACACCGCCATTCTCCGCGAGAACAGCCGTGCGTCGTTGCCGCTGCCGCCGCGTCTTGGACACCATTCCTCTCTTCACGTAATAATAATAATAATAAGAATAATAATAAGAATACTAATAGGAATAGTTATCCTAATAACGGAGATCGCTCTATAAATGTCCCTTGTTCTTGTCTCAACCTCTTTCTCTCACCCAGATATGTATATCTATATATCTATATATATATATATACACACACACACAGTCTCTTTCTATCTCTCTGTCGGTCGCTCCTTCACACTTTTTGTGCCGCAGCCACAGACCCCCTTTACACCTCTAATGTGTATTGAGGAAAAGGCACAACGTCAATATAAATTCCAACCACAAAATAAAGAAGAGTGAAAAAAAAGAAAAAAACATATGAATAGATAAAGAAAAAAAAAAAAAAAACATTTACATCAATAAAACATATATTACCCTATTCCTCTACTATACAAGATGGGAAATATATATATAAGATACATTTTTTTTTTTCCTTTTGTTCTCTCTCTCTCTAAGAGCCAAATATTGTACTCCTCTTGAACGAACGAACAAAATAAATAACAACTCTTCCTCATTTTTCCATGACTCAATAAAATGAAAATCGAGGTTCATCTCCTTTTTCACGTGCTTCTTTAACACGTTTTTCATATTTTGGGGCTAATTCTTTTGCTTGTTTCCACGCAAACTCCTTCATTGGTTCAGTTAATCTATTGTAATACTTATTCTTCATTTTCTCCAGTTTTTTAGGGTCATGTGCTTTCATTGCGATATTCATCATAGATGCTGGACCAATAAGAGCAAGATTTCCTGCTGTCATATCACTGTTAGGTAAACGCATATTCTTTCGTGGATCATTAAACCAATGATCCTTCTTAAAGAGATCTTCACTATCAAGCAGTTTATCATTACTCTCATCATCATCATCGTCTTCAAAGGTAATAGCCTTATTCTGCATCTGTTTAACCTCTGTAGTATCATACCCCGCCCGATCCATTCGAGTAATCCAATAGGCCGTACTCATCGGGGATGCAATCGCCTCTTCTGAATGTCCTTCAGCAATACGCACTTCCTCCTGTTGTGTTTGTAATTCCGCCTCTGCGAGAAGAGCCGCATCAGCTTCTGTATCTAATAGTACTACATTACAGGCAAGACGACCTGTTCCACCAAAGGGTGTAAACTTAACTTGACGACCCTTCTTTAATAGTGATTTCCGCGTTTTATAATCTACTACATGTTCTTCAGCATCTCTAAGAACATATCGTTCATCATCATCGCCTTGAATAACACCTTGTCCCTCTGATGGTGACCATGTGATCATCATTCCATGTACCCAAGTAAGATCATCATTAGTAAACTCCTTTTCTTCTTTTTTTGGGTTTTCATTATTTAAACCACCAGCAACAGAGGAGGAAGTAGATAAAGATGCAACAGCTCCATCTGATCTCTTTAACATAGGCATTACAGTAGAAAAATCACGTGTGGCTAAGGAAAGGACATCCACATCTTTCGCATTACGTCTATTTAAAGGATCAACTCTGAAACTCACAACAGCCCCACGAATAGAATAACTTGTATGATCCACAAGTTGTTTAAATTCAGCAGCTGATTGAATATAATAAAGTCGTCTACTTCCTGTTTCAACTATACCCTGTCCTCCACTCCATCGAGTTACCACACCATAAAGAGGAACTGAAGGAAGTGGTTCATTATCATAGTTTTCTTCTTCAAATTGAGTACCAAGTTGTTTGGCACGTTTTGCATGTTCTTCAGCAGCAGCCTCTTTGGATTTGGCCTCCTGTGCAGCTGTGAGATCATCATCAAAATGGATTTCACCATGGACAGTAATATTCTCTGCAAATACACTTGAAGGTTGTGAATTGTATATAACCTTGGCAAAGGTCACCACACGACCCACAAGATTTAATGAAGTGGGTAGTGCCGTATCAAAGGCATCTACATTTCTAATTATACAAACATTTTTCATTTCCTCAGCAGAAGTACACTTGGGAAGTGTTGTAGTATTTTCTAGTAATACTCCACTACGATGTAAAGAGGACCATGTAAGCACTACACCTGTTTGTTGTGTTGATAACACTTTCCGTTGATTCGCCTTTTGTTTTGCCTCTTCCTCTTCTTGTTGTTTCTTTAGTACTTCTTTGACTTTTAATTCATCTCCTATACGTTGACGCAGACGTAAAAACTTCATCGTCTCATTATCTAATACTGCAGGATTACGAAGATCCTTCACACTTTTCGGTGGCGGAACACCTCCTTCCACAGTATCCACAGTATAAACATCCTCCTCCGCTCCTGCAGTGGAGTTGCCAACCTCTGGGTCCACAACTGTACTTAAATCTACAGTGATATGACCCGCAATAAACTGATTAGACGATAAAGAGGCGTTTAATGATTTTGTTTCTTCACTTTTTAGTTCAGATACTTTCGATGTCTTGTCGCCTTCTTGCGGTGGTGCCAGTCGAAAACCCGCAAGAAAATCCACAGGTGTTCTCTGTTTGTAGCTATTTGCCGTTATATTGTCCAGTCGACTTCGCGTAATCACACGATCCACCTCCTGTGCATCCCGCAATACCTCAAACTCGACCTTTGCGCCCTTCAAATAACGAAGACGTGTGGGCAAAATTGTTTCAAATGCCCGTGCGTTTGGAATAATGTATTCTTTACCATTTTCCACACAGTGAATAACACCACGTCTTTCAAAGGGATGCCATGAAACTACAGTTCCACTCAAACGTTGTGGAAATGCAAGTAGTCGTGCAGGTCGCATTACTCGTAATGTCTATATATATATATATATATATTCCTTCTTGTAGCCCTAAAGAACTATGTTTATGTCTGTAATGTTCTTTTTTGTACTGTGTTTTTCGTTTCCCCCCTTTTTTTTTTTAATTCCAACTCTTCTCTCTCTCTCACTCTGAACAAACTCCGATAAACTTCACTAAGACCAGCCCTCACCTTTTTTTTTTTTTCTTTACTCGCAACGATAAACCCTTCTTTCCTCTTTCCAATTTGTCTTCCTCTTATTTTTTACGCGGTAATAAATATAAAGAAAGCGCCACCCGCTCCATCAAGAGAAGGAGTAGGAAAGTGAAATTACAGAAGCAGCACAGGACGACATGACCTCACCAATAATAATAACAATAATAATAATAATAAACATAATAAACACAAATTCCCCCACTCAACTATTTCGTGATGCCAACGAACCTATCAGGCATCTTTGAAGCATGTCTGGACATGTTAGGGAGTACGAAAAAAAAGAAAAAGGAAAAAAGAGAAAAGAGAAGGAGAAGGGGAAGGAAAAAAAAAAGAAAAAGAAAAAAAAAAGCACAAAGTAGATTTGTTGACATTTGCAGAAATACAGCAACCCAGAGCAGAAAAAAAAAAAAAAANAAAAAAAAAAAAAAAGGAACGCCAGTACGATTTACAGAAGTGATATATCCTCCGTTTTTTTTTTTTTTTTTTGTTGTTGTTGTTGTTGTTTCTTGCATTATTTTCCCATTCTTTTTGAAGATTTATGTGTCTTCATTATCTGGGGTGAAATGGAAAATATACGAAGGGGTGAAAGAATAAAAAGGGCAGAGCCACTTAACCCCTCTGTAGTCAATGGTTTCTTTTTTTTTTTTCTCTTTTCCTTTTTGTTATTCTTTTGTTTTTTTTGTTTAGCTGTTTACGTCTAACTCTCATCACCTGTATTTCTGTTCTGTCTCTCACAAGTTTCTACTCATCCAAAAACGTCTTATCGCATTTTATTTCATCTTGTTTCCGTCTTTTCTTTTTTTAAGATGATATCTTCTTTTTTTTTTTTCTTTTTCTCTCTCTCTCTCTTTGGTATGTGTAACTATCATCTTCTTTTCCCCTTTCTTGAAGCTGATTATCATAATTATCATCATCATCACAACAACCTTAAAACTCCAGTTTCACCAATAGTATCGCCCCTTGCAGGGGTAGTTACAAGTTACGTTCATCATAACACCAAAGAAAAGGTCACCCCTTCCAAACTCTCTATAACGTCTACATCTATCCCATTTTCATAGTGTTGATCATTTCCCCCTTTTTTCAGTTTCCAAAAGAAGAAATGGGGGAAAAAAAGGAAAAAAGAGTTCTTTCCTCTTTTTTCTTAATAAATAATAAAAGTCTTGTACATATGTATACATACGCCTATAAACACATAAAAATATGTATATATGGTAGAGAAAGGAAGGCGTGTGGGGGGTGAAACCAACTTGGATGTAGGCTTATATATATATATATATATATATATAGGGAGTGAGAGAGAGAGAGAGAGACAACACAAACACACAGACACCTCTTGATAAAAACTATTAAACAGTTTCACGCTTGTGACCACAGAATGCGCAGAACTTCACCTTATCATCAATATGTCGTTTCCCACATTCTGTGCAAAATGGAACGAGTTGTTTCGTAGTTACTGCTTCATTAATAGGAATACGCTTTGCTACACGAGTTCTAGCAACTGCCGGGCGATCTGTTGCCAAAGGCCGAAATGCATCACGATCAACGGTACTAATATGTGTAAGTGCTGAAAGACTTTTACGTCTCCACGAAAGATACTGCCAGTTAGGACGTTGTGAAGCATTAGGACTCGCTTCCGAAGGGTGTGGTGGAGATGCACTTTTAGTGCCACGATGCCCGTCTTTTTCATGGGGCAAAGATGAATCCTCACGGCGAGAAGTCGCTGTACGAGAAGTAGTCGTAGTCGTATTTCCACCTATCCGACGTCGTGAAGCTCCCCCTACACTGAACACATTAGACATCTCACGCTCAAGAGTTCCACTTCGTCGTTCTTGCTGTAACTGCCCCTTTGACTTTCGTTCAGTTGCAGAAGCATGGACAGAAGCAGAAACAGGAGTAGTACTACTAGTAGTATTACCAGAGACAACAACTACAGCTGCTTTAGAGGAATGTGTATTACTCTTCCCTGTTCGTGATTTACTTGTTGATGTACTGACTGTACTCGCATCAGTTGAGGTTGTCTTTTTCTTTTTTGTCCCATGTGGTAAGGGCTGTACATCTGTTGTACCACGTGATTTTGTTTGTGAAGGTGAATTATTTGAGGCTTCACGTGTACCATTCACTTCAACGCGTCCCTCATCATTCTTCTTTTTGGAACCACTAGCAGTATTATTACTATTACTACTACTAGTAACAGCAGTAGCAAGAGTAACAGTAGTAGTTGTAGCGTTAGCAGTAGTAGTAGTAGTTGTAGTAAGAGGAGCAGCAGAACTAGAAAGAGCTACAAATACAGGCGCAGGAACAGATGCTGGAGTAGGTGTAGGAGGTGTACGGCTGGGTGTCGGTGTGGGTGGAACTGCAGGAGAAACGGGAGAGTTCGCGAGGGAAATTTTAGTTACAGATGGTTGCCGGATCTTTTTCGCTTCTGTCTCTACCACTCTCTTTTCCCTTTCTTTACTACTATTTGGAGCCCCTGATGTAGAGGGATGATCCCTCAAAATGGGAGATCGCATACGAGACTTCCCCGTTGTGGTTTTCGAAGCTACCACAGGCCCCGAAGGACGACCTTCAGATCCTTGAAGTAAACGTCGTGCCTGGTGATCTTGCATTCGTATTGGTTCTGCACTAAGCAATCGTCTCGCATCTTCTTCTCCCATATTTTTCCTTGAGTCCACTGTAAGAATAATAATAGGAGGAGACGTAGAACGTCCACCTGGTCGACCAAAGGGTCTTCCTATACCTAACCTTTTACCGCTATTTGGTGTTGCTTTTGTGTTTCTATTATCTTCAGGAGACATTGACGACAAGTGAACCTCCTCCATCATAACTGAAGAACTGGTATGCGTGTGGGTACCAGAAGGATCTGCCCTTCCACTTACACCTCCACCTCCACCACCACCTCCTCCTCCTCCTCCTCCATTCATAAACTTTGAAACGGGCCATCTATCATAACTACTACGTGGTTCCACAACACCCTTTGAAACCGACATTGCGCTCACCCGCAAAGAAGGAGACCTTTTCTCACTACTTGGCTCTGTTTTTGTTGGCATAGTTGGTCTTGGGGAATGTGCTGATTGTGATTTCTCTCTCGCACTTGAGAAGGCTGTACTGGGTCGTTGTTCCATATTTGTGAATGCCTCACCTTTTTTTACGTGTGGAGGACTCACTTGTGAGCGTCGTGGTGGGGATGACTTGTTATCATTGGATGAATTCTTATATCGTTGTCGTGATCCAGGTACTGAAGTTACCACAACAGGCTCAGGTATTACCAAAGATGTCATGGCTCGCTCAAGTGTAGTATGTTTGGGAGCATCCATGTGTACCTTTCCACCAACTGATTGAGTTCGGCAAAAAAATGTAGGTGCACGTTGTGTGTTACTGGAACCTCTCCCATTTGGTGATTGTGTTTTACTGCTAAATACTTGTGATCCAACCCGACGCATTCGTTCCTTATTTTCTCGCTGCATTTCTTCAAGATTTTGAAGAGCCTTTTCAAGCTCTTGTCGTTGTCTTTCACCTTCAATTGGGTTTTCGAGCGCTAACTGTTCACGGCGTCGTCGCCGTCTTGTACGGGAGAGTTCACTCACAAAGCTGGCAAGGCTATCGGCGATGCTGTTATTCAATACACCATCCTTCATTCCAGAGCTCATAGGAGGTGGTGAACCTACTCTTTGAGGACGAAATAACGCAACCGTTGGTATAGGGGTTGCAGGATTAGATTCTGTATCATACTGCAAAGTTTCATTAATAGATTCCTCAACCTGAACGGCAGAGGACACCACTAACTCATCTGTTTGGACAAAAAAATCATTTGTATGATTATCAGAGATAATTCCCTTCTTCGCCGTAGGGGAAAACCGCCGGGTTGGCAAGTCACTAGTACCTTCCCCGACGCTCACCTCCGTCATAGCCCCGAACTAGGTCTAGTTTCGAAGCAAAAGAGACTACAAAAACAAAAAAAAAAAAAAAACGAATAAAAGCTGAGGAGAAAAAAACAAAAGAAAATAAATAATAAGAGCACACGCAGGAGTAAATAAAAGAAATAAAAATCAATATTTAACATTTTCAGGTGTATAAATATATATTTTTTTAAAAAATATCAGTAAAACTCCTAGTGTTCTAAAAATAAGATTATCTTAGATTAATCTTGAAAAAAGAAAAAGGCAAAAGGATAAGCCAAGCAAATTAGATCCCCAAAAACACGCTGTACAATAAGTGGATTTGCAAAAAAAAAAAGAAAGAGGATCCCACCCAACACTAACAGGGAAATACAACATATAGACTTCCTCTCATATATATATGAATAGATCCAAAAAAAAAATATACTTAAAGTACTCTTAAAAGGGTTTAGTTGGATGCCATTGATGCATTTCCGGGCCTACTGGCTTGAAATAACTCTCCACGATCTCTTTTGTAACATCTGCAACTTTTCCCGGCTTCCATTTGGGATCCTTTGTCTTGTCAATTAGTAGTGCCCTCACACCTTCAGGAAAATCATGGCCAACAGATGATCTCATAGCCCCCGTATATTCCATTCGGAACACATCCGCAGGGTCTGTCATCTTTGCACCCCGCCTTTGCATTTCCAATGCAACGCAAAGAGCTGTAGGTGACATTTTACTTAAAGTATCAAGGGCATTCTTTGCAAAATCACTTCCATCAGCAGAAAGGGCATCAATAATACCCTCCACGGTAGTCGTATCCTTTAATGTAAAGATATCCTCAATGAGTTTACAGTGGGGTTCCAGTGTGAACTGTGGTAATTGTTTCACCGCAAACTCCTCAAGACAGGGTTCAACCTTTGAAGGATCATCAATTTGACAGAGAGATTCCTCTAGTTGATTAAACTTCTCAGATGGAACATAGTGAGTAGCCAGACCAGTGTGTACCACATCTGCTCCTTTAAGGCGTGCACCAGTGAGACCAAGATAAAGGCCAAGTCCACGAAATGGTAAACGCGGAAGAAACCAAGAAGCACCAACATCAGGAAACATGCCAATAAGAGTTTCTGGCATCGCAAAGAGTGCCCGTTCTGATGCCACACGGTATCGTCCATGAATAGAGACACCAACACCGCCACCCATAACGTAACCATTCCAAAGAGAAACTTGCGGGTTTGGCATAGTGAGCATATGATAATTGATTTGGTACTCAGTATAGAAGAGTTCCTTGTAGCTATCACTTGTGGTGACACTGATAGCATCACCACCAGCGCAAAAACTTCTCTCTCCTGCACCTTTTACTACATAGACGGCAGCATCCCCTTTGGAATGAGGTTCCTCCATGTAGGCACGCCTTAAGGACCTCAACATCTCAACATTTAAAGAATTTAGTGCCTTTTCACGGTTCAGGGTTACAAGGCGAACACAGGGGAAATCATTCCAGAAAACGGAATTGGCAAAAACAGGTAGACACCGTCTCATTATAATTCCCCTCAATATTACCGATTTTTTTTTTCTTTTCTCGCTACCTAAAGAACTTTGATTATTATTTTTAACCTTAATCGCGTACCGCAGTACAATAATTATAAAAAGAAAAGAAAAGAAATAAAAAAAGGAAACATTCAATCAAAAACTATATCGAGAATACATAAACACTAAGAGCACACGCAGGAGTAAATAAGAGAAAAAAATCAATATTTAACATTTTCAGGTGTATAAATATATATATATTTTAAAAAATAACAGTAAAACTTCTAATGTTCTAAAAATAAGATTTTATTAGAGTAACGTTGAAAAAGGAAAAAAAAGACAAAAGTATAAACCATGCAAATTAGATCACGAAACACTAACAGGGAAATACAACATATAGACTTCCTCTCATATATATATATATGAATAGATCCCAAAAAAAATATACTTAAAGCACTCTTAAAAGGGTTTAGTTGGATGCCATTGATGCATTTCCGGGCCTACTGGCTTGAAATAACTCTCCACGATCTCTTTTGTAACATCTGCAACTCTTTCCGGCTTCCATTTGGGATCCTTTGTCTTGTCAATTAGTAGTGCCCTCACACCTTCAGGAGAATCATGGCTAAGGCGAGATCTCAGGGCCCCCGCATATTCCATTCGGAACACATCCGCAGGGTCTGTCATCTTTGCACCCCGCCTTTGCATTTCCAATGCAACGCAAAGAGCTGTAGGTGACATTTTACTTAAAGTATCAAGGGCATTCTTTGCAAAATCACTTCCATCAGCAGAAAGGGCATCAATAATACCCTCCACGGTAGTCGTATCCTTTAATGTAAAGATATCCTCAATGAGTTTACAGTGGGGTTCCAGTGTGAACTGTGGTAATTGTTTCACCGCAAACTCCTCAAGAGAGGGTTCAACCTTTGAAGGATCATCAATTTGACAGAGAGATTCCTCTAGTTGATTAAACTTCTCAGATGGAACATAGTGAGTAGCCAGACCAGTGTGTACCACATCTGCTCCTTTAAGGCGTGCACCAGTGAGACCAAGATAAAGGCCAAGTCCACGAAATGGTAAACGCGGAAGAAACCAAGAAGCACCAACATCAGGAAACATGCCAATAAGAGTTTCTGGCATCGCAAAGAGTGCCCGTTCTGATGCCACACGGTATCGTCCATGAATAGAGACACCAACACCGCCACCCATAACGTAACCATTCCAAAGAGAAACTTGCGGGTTTGGCATAGTGAGCATATGATAATTGATTTGGTACTCAGTATAGAAGAGTTCCTTGTAGCTATCACTTGTGGTGACACTGATAGCATCACCACCAGCGCAAAAACTTCTCTCTCCTGCACCTTTTACTACATAGACGGCAGCATCCCCTTTGGAATGAGGTTCCTCCATGTAGGCACGCCTTAAAGACCTCAGCATCTCAACATTTAAAGAATTTAGTGCCTTTTCACGGTTCAGGGTTACAAGGCGAACACAGGGGAAATCATTCCAGAAAACGGAATTGGCAAAAACAGGTAGACACCGTCTCATTATAATTTCCCTCAATATTACCGATTTTTTTTTTCTTTTCTCGCTACCTAAAGAACTTTGATTATTATTTTTAACCTTAATCGCGTACCGCAGTACAATAATTATAAAATGAAAAGAAAAGAAATAAAAAAAGGGAACATTCCTTGAAAAACTATATCGAGAATAAATCACTAAATAATAATAATAAGGCGTCATTTTTTCTTTCAATAAAAAAAAAGAAAAAAAACAATATAATACGCGTATCTTTTTAATTTTTCCGCCCCCCCCCCCCCCTGTGTCCGATACCTTCATTTATGAATTTCAGAAGGCGGCCTCTGGGTCCCACGGCAGTAGTCCCTCATTACTAAAGAAGTGTTCAAGATACGATGGGGTGACTTCCTGCAGTGTTTTTGGATCCCATTGGGGTTCTTTTGTTTTGTCAATCAACAATGCTTTCACACCGATATTGAACTCATTACCCTGCGCTATTCGTTGAATTACATTATATTCCATGGACATGGCTTCTCGCATCGTTTTTAACGCCGCCCCCTTTCGCATTAACTCTAAAGTAATCTTAAGACACGTTGGGGATGCCTTGTCTAATTGTTTTAGTGCTTCTTTTGCAAAATCACTTCCATCAGCAGAAAGGGCATCAATAATACCCTCCACGGTAGTCGTATCCTTTAATGTAAAGATATCCTCAATGAGTTTACAGTGGGGTTCCAGTGTGAACTGTGGTAATTGTTTCACCGCAAACTCCTCAAGACAGGGTTCAACCTTTGAAGGATCATCAATTTGACAGAGAGATTCCTCTAGTTGATTAAACTTCTCAGATGGAACATAGTGAGTAGCCAGACCAGTGTGTACCACATCTGCTCCTTTAAGGCGTGCACCAGTGAGACCAAGATAAAGGCCAAGTCCACGAAATGGTAAACGCGGAAGAAACCAAGAAGCACCAATATCAGGAAACATGCCAATAAGAGTTTCCGGCATTGCAAAGAGTGCCCGTTCTGATGCCACACGGTATCGTCCATGAATAGAGACACCAACACCGCCACCCATAACGTAACCATTCCAAAGAGAAACTTGCGGGTTTGGCATAGTGCGTATATAATAATTTAGACGATATGTCATATTTAGGAATGGAAATAAAGTACCGTTAGCAACAATAGCACGAATATCACCACCAGCGCAAAAACTCTTGTTTCCTGCGCCTTTAAGTATATATATAGCATCACGAGGAAAATAAGGGTGTGGCTTCTTTAGATGTAACCACAGTATGTGCTGTGCCATTTCAAGGGATAATGCATTAAGCACATCTGGGCGATTTAATGTGATAAGGCGAGTGCAAGGATAGTTGACCACCTGCAGTGAATCTATGCTCTCCTCAGCGACTCCATTGCTGTCTCTTCCCATTGTTTGATATGCCTATCAAAAACACACAGGATCAGCACGGGAAAATAATAATAATAATAATAATAATAATAATAATAATAATAATAATAATAAACGTGAAAATGCAAATAAATGTGTCCTCTCTCTTTATATATATATATATATATATATATATATATATACCTGATCACTTAATATTGTTAGTTAAATGACTCAATATACGCATTACTGTGTTATTGTGTTCATGTGTTGAATAATACAAATATACACAGACATATATATGTGAAAAAAAGAGGTATAGAATCAAAGAGTAAAAAAGAAAAAGAAAACATAGTTAGAGTGGTGAATAAGATTATATGCATTTTGGTAAGTAATAAGGGAAGATAATTTAGCAGAAACCACCCCCAAGCTCTCTTTCTTTTTTTTTTTTATTTTTTCTTTTACTTTTACAACTATTCACCTCATTCACCATCGTCATCACCAGAGACACTACTCACGGAACACCACGATACTTCCAGCATTCTTTTCTTTTTCTTCACATTCATTATCGCTCGACAAATCGTGATCTTCAAGTGGTGTACGACTTCTCTTACCACGTCTCTCTGTCATCTGCGGTGATCCAGCGTTGGATTCATACTGATCCTTCACATCAAACTGGCGTTCTCCCACTGTTACGGCAATAGTGCCATTACTGTCAAGAACAGTTAAACCACTTGTTGGTCCTAACGCTGCCTGAATCCGACGTGGTTCATTCGTATGAGAAAGAGAAGAAGAAGACGCCGTATAATTATTATTATTATTATTATTATTAGTAGTAGTAGTAGTAGTAGTATTTCCTTCATACACCAAAACTCCCCCATCGTGTGTTGCTGTGACGAGATCCACAGACTGAGTCCCTTCACCTTTCCGTTGAATGAAACCAAACATTGCTGGTTGTTGTGTTCGCAACTCACGATCAAAGGTTGTGAGAAGCTGAGTGCTCTTTCGAATATCCCAACAAACTATTCTTTTATCCCCTACTCGTCCTGCTGCATAAACTAAATATTCCGAGATTGGGTGAACCATAATCTGTGAAACACCAGACTTTAATCCACGCAACACCGCGGCAGCTCCACAATGTCGTGTATCAACTATATCAACATTACCAGAACGAATAAAACCGGCTAATATCAAATTTTCCTGATATGGTGTTGGACCATCTGCTAATGCCGAGACAAACCCCTTAGAGCATGGAGATGCATAAGAAGACTGCACAGTAGTCCCTTCTTGAAGAATATCAAAGAAACGAACATGAGTCTTATCTTCAATCCCACCATAACCCGCAGCCACTAAAGATCGACGCCCCGACCATAAAATAGAATGAGGATGTGCTGGCACTCCAGCATCATTCCTGCAACAGTAAGAGGCCCGAAGAGATGCATCTTCCACATCCCACAACTGTAAAGGACAACTATTACACGCCGTAAGAAATGAGGCGTAGCCGTCACCTTCCTTAAAAGGACACCAGGCTATATCTATAGCCGGGTACGGTAACTTTACCCAAGGCACAGAGCGATCAAAATCCACACATGGTAAGAATGAATCTGCAGAGGTGGATTGTAGTTTAAGGACAGGAACAGATGATGCACTCCACGTTGCTAGCATTGCACCACCATGTTGATTAGAGTAATCTGGTGATACAGCAAGTTGACGGAAATAAATACCGTCAGGTGCATAGGATCTTGGAAAGCTCATCGAAGGTGCCATTTTTCTTTTTTTTTTATTCCTATGTGTGTATCTTTCCTTCCCACCTCTTTCCTCCTCCTCTCGTGGTTTTCTAAAGAAAAGAAATAAACTTAGGTAGAAAAGAATATCAACAACAACAACAACAACAAAAATAGCATCAACAAGGGAGACAAACACGAAAAAGTTTTTTCTTTTTTTTTTCTTCTCCTTCTCTTTCTGTTTGTTCGGGTCTATATATATATATATATATATATATATGTATTCATCCCTTTATCTCTTTTTTTTGTTGGTACCCTTTATTTCTTCTATTTTTCCCCTTCTTCCTTCTCTCTCTCCCTCACACACACACACACAACCACACACTTTCTCTATTTGTGTGACAGTGTACATGCAAAAACAAAAAGAAAGGAGAAACAATAAAGAAAGAAAGAAAAAAAAAAAAAACAGAGAATTTCTTCTTGATGTCAAGAAGACTAAGAGGGAAGTTCATCCAAGGCTCGCTGAATAGCAGCCATGATATGACATTCCTCTGCGTAGTGTGGACTATGTGGGCCTTCACGTTCATGACGCTCTTCCACCTCGGCAACGGCATCAACAACCTTGTTAAGAATATCACGCATGGTGGCAATTTCCAGTTTCAATGCACAGTGAGTGATTTGAATGGTTTCCTCCTCATATTTCTGTACTTCAAAAAGCTTCTTTGCAACCGCAAGTCTTGTAGCGATCTGCTGTAAAAACGATACACACTCCTTCTCCTCAGGTGGAATCATAGAAAGGGTACTTGACAACTTTGTGTGAATTGCCGTTGCCTTTGACTCCATCATGGTAGCGAACTCCCGTTCACGTCTATCATCATCACTCTCTTCCGCTGGAACAGTTGAACGGAGTTGTTCCAGTGCTGTTCGGAGCATTGGATGAGGCATATATCCACTATGAATATCTTTTCCCTCTTCTTCTTTTTCTTCTTTTTTTTCCTTTTCAACATCTGCTGAGGGAGATATTTTCGCTACTGCATTACGTGCAGTAGCGGATGCTACTGGCCATTCTGCAGGTAAATATGTTTGTTCATATGGATTTTCAAATCGCATTTCCTTTGCGGGGACAGTTTCTTTCACTACTACCATCACGGGATCATTGTTATTGATAATGCTAGTATTAGATGATGAGAGTGGTGTATGAACTGGTTGTTGTGTACTGCACTCATCCTCTTGAGTGGCGTGTGTTAAGTCTTGTGATCGCGTGGGTGGTGTGTTGCTGCCTGTTGTTTTCATCTCTTCTGATCCCCGCAGCACTGACCGCCATCTGCAGGTCTGCCGTGCGATTGCCGGCAACACCGTTGGTGGACGCGAATGGAAACGTTCATGAACAGCGGCGTAAATGCGATTGACTGTCTTTTCATTATTCTTCGATAAATGAGAGTGACCACGAGTGGCTTGCACGGCCTTCTTAAAGTCTGACATGGCCATCTCACACTCCACCCAACTGGGAACGGAGCGGAGAAATGTATACAGTGTGCAGGAGGCCGCTACGGGATCATCCGCCAGAGTGGCATTGTTGGAATCTACAGTATGTAGTCGGATAATAGGAAGAGACATCACTTCACAACACTACTGTATTGATTTAAGAGTGGTTTATATATATATATATATATATATATATATATATATATATATATATATATAAAGACTCTTTCTATATATGTATATGTATATATATTATGTATATTATGTGTATTTGTTTCCTCCACTTCTTTCCTCCCCTCCCACGCGGTGTCTAAGAGCTTCACGTGGAAAATGACAACAACAAAAAAAAAATACACAAAGAAAGAGAGAGAGAACGGTAGAGAGAGAGAGATTAAACCATAAATTAAAAAAAAAAAAAAAAAAAAAAAAAAAAA